CATTCATTTATTTCCCGGCATCTATTCAGCTGATTATAACCTAGAAACAATAATATTACATACGACTAATGTAAATACTTTACATTATATCATTGAAGATTAGTAGAATAATGATGACCTGTATAGACGAATTATGAAGTAAACTGGGTAAATATTTATATGTTACTAAATAGGGACCTTAACTTTAATTCCTCCATACTCGTAATCATTATTTTATTAATCGTCAATAATGTTATATAAAATATATACATTAGTTGTTAGTAATATTATTGTTTCTAGGTTGTAAAAAGTTGAAGGGAGACCGCAAAATAAATGAATAAATCTTAATCTACTACGCCTCTGGTTCTTGCTTTAGTCAAAAATATAATTTCCTATTTGATTACAGTAGATTTTTAAAATGAAAGTAACTCTTTTCACTTCAACTAATAATTGTAAAGTATTTTAGTCATTAACATCATTTCTATAGTTAATGTATACTCATTTATTCATTTGTTCATTCTAAACAATAGTAATAATAGACTTAGAACACTGTACATAGAACAATTAATAAAATGAAATATAGTTGGTTGAATGTAGTCAGCCTCGGATTATCCTATTTGCAAATGTTAATGGTTAAATGATACAAAATTTTCAATTCTCAAATTGACTTAATTTCATATGATTAGTAGCTTAAATAATAAAAGACAAGGAATTCAGATGAAAAAGATGTTCTATCAAAAGTGACAGATACTCATCAGTTATGATTGATAAAAACCATAGAACATAAGTGTTGTCTAAAGTGAACGAAATAAGACTACTTCAGATGTGCTTTTTTATTTTTTTAAAAAATGGTTCAAACAAATACTAGAATTTACTTAAGAAGGTAAACTGTTTTATTGACAGTATAATTTCATATCATCAATTGCTTCATAATTGAACTCCGTTTATGTTTAATTGTTTGATAAACAGTACCGTAATTTATCTATCTTCTTAATTGAATTACAATTCTTTCGTACATCATACAACAACACAAACTAGAGCCGTAAACAAATAAGCCACCCACCCACACATACATATACATACAACTACTTCACTGTGAAAATCCTTTACTTTATTATTATTATTATCATCATCACCAAATATTAATTTTTCTCGTCTATTATTTTTAATACACACATACTGTCATTTTATATTTTCTGTTGAATAAATTATTGTCTTAGATATTCACTTATAATTTGAGTAATTGTTATAACCAAAACCTAAACTGTGACATATATATATCGTGATAAAGTGTGGTAAATTGTGATCTTTCAAATTTGCCAATAAAAAATCAATCATTATTTTTTTTATTTTTACTCTTGATTTGTTTCACAAGTTAGATAGATATATATGTATGTTAGAAATCTAATAGTTTTTCGGGCTGGAAATCAGTTGTTTTTGCCCTAGTTATGTTTCTTCTTAACATCCATTGTTGACTTAAAATAAGCCGACTACTTCTACATAAAAAAACACAATTCCGGACAAACAGTATTTCGTCATTTTAAAAAAAGTTTAATTTCATGATGAACAGTCTATTTGGTTTACTTATCGTTGATGTTTCAAGTGTTCCTATGTTGTATGTTTACCTGGAGGTAAATATGGAGAAAGACAGTTGGAAATAAACATAATCACATTTATATAGGATGATGTATATATATTTATTATGATGTGAATCAGTTAAATGGAGCTTTTCATATGAGAAGACTCTTTAGTAAAATGTTGAAATTTCAAGTAAAGTACTGAATAAATATGTCATTTATTGCTGTGTGCAACTATTTAAAACTGTTTTAATCTTAAATTGATCTTAACTGAATAGTACGAGAAAATGATCAAATAAACGTATCATAACGAGATACAAATGTTGATTTTAAATGTTTGACAACTTTTACTGACCGAATGATAAATATTTCTGACTTTATATTAAACAGTTATCAGACAGATAAGCAAAATCAACTTGTGATAAGAAAAGCAACTTCTAACTCAATAATTTTACATTACATACTTACTAGTGATTCACTTCCAGAACTAATTCCTGTAGTTCTAATGAGAGCCTATGACAAGTAGAGTTTCCACATGTCTAACGAGAGATAAATATAAACAATCAAAAGTAGATAATCTCTGTAGAACATACAGAATTGGTTGGAGTTAGAAGTATAAATCACCGAATACTGAATCAGCTGTCTATAAACCCAACCACCGACTCGGGGTCTAAAGTGTTAGGTTTGGACCCTGGTAGGATTGTGAGTGAGCACTAATGAGGAGACCCATTCTAAAATGAAACATTTGTCTAGTAACTCCTGATTCAGTAATAACTAGCAAATCTTTCTATGAGTCAGTTCATAGTTGATAAACTAATTTTGTGCATTTTAACATATGTGCCAACACGATTTCAAAAATTGCATTAGAATCAATCTGTCGGGTCAAGCTCGCATGATAATGATTTATGCACTCTGGAAACTATTGAACATTTTGCATACCTTTTGTGTAACTAATTATGACAAATTATGTTCACTTGATGCATTATGAAGAAAACTTGGTATTATTGTTTGAATTCTTTAAAAAGTTAAGAGATGCCCAAAATGCTTCCTAAAATTCCTCAATTCTATGAATTCGCATTTTTCAGTGATCGGATTGTATAAGTACTTAAAGTAGAAAGTTACAGCCATTCGTACGATTCAATAGATTAAGATACTCAAAGCCTTAAACCAATCTATACGTACGTCACATTATGCACCACTAGGATTAAGAAACTACCACCGACTAGTATCTTTTTTCATTCTATTTACTATGCCATCAATAAAAAATTTTTGTTAAATACTCATACTGCGGTGTATGCTAGTTGTGTTTGTTGACATAAGAGGCATGTAACACCAATCAGAAGTGGAATGCCTGATAGCAGAGGGTTGAGAAGTGAACAGAAATATATACAGACAGAAATTGTAATAACAACGGAAATGAAGGAACTATTACGTTGGCAGGAGACAACTGATGGAAGATGTGCAAGTGAAGTATATGATGTATGATTTTCATACTTTACGAAATCAATTCCTCCCAATCGACTTTTTCGTTCACCATAATATCATTGCAACAAATATTGCTGTTAATGTTATTAGTAGTAGTCATTCAATCAAAACCAAAGTAGAGCCAGAAATATATGTACACGGGTTCACATTGCCATACCTCAATAGCACAACGAGATGAAGTTGTCTAATTGGTATCGTTGTTGAAGGATTTACTGAAGTCTAATTCATAAAAAGCACTTATTCTTTTAGATGAAGAGGGTATATGAAGTTAACTTCAATTTTTAGATGTTTGATACCAATGAGGGTACAGTTTAAAACCATGGATGATTAAAGAATCACCCCATTCTAATACAGGGTTACTAAGTAATGTCTAAGTACGACCACGCTAGGGATCAAAGTCATATCTTCAGATCTCGATGCAAACACCCAGCTCTTAGAACTATAAGTTTCTAACTTCAGTCGTTTTATGATACAACGTAACGAACATCCAGTTATTAGTCATGACTTTTTCACTCTATACATGTTTAAAGTGAGTTGATCATGAATTATCGCTTTATTACTGTTGTAAATACCATCAAGTCGATTGATTTTTACTTATATAATTATTTATAAAAATAAAAAGTCAGTTCAGTAAAGTTAATAAAGTTGACTCAAAGGAAAAATATAATTAACCTGTTACTTTAGTAACTACATTGTAATACTCAACTACAATTTATTAAAAAACTAAATAAAGTCTAAAAAAGTTAAATTTCAATAACATCGGCTTCGAGCCATCTTGATCTGTCGAAAATCAGTTCACAATCACAAGCGAAACATAAGGAGAAGTTTCGAATAATATTGATACGAAGGTTTCCATAGTTGAGAATTATTTTTCTCTGCAAAATACAATTAACCGAAGAGATACTTCATTCGAATAAGCGAAGGCTATACAGAACGATAGAATTTTGGTGATAATACCTACATCAGACTTTAAAATATCCGTAAACATTAGTAAGTACTGGTAATTATTTTCACTTAGATAAGATTAAAAGTTGTGAGTGCACGACAAGTCTGACAACAATACACAATCCATAGACTTTATTTCTAGAGAAGTTCACTTGACAATTATGACTTATGAGGTATGATAAGTAGAAGTTTAGTACGGTGTCGTATAATTATCTGTTTTTATCTTTCAATCTCAATGAAAGTGAAACTTGCTGTAGTAACTTTCTAAATAAGTATATTGATCTTATGTTTGTCTTTACTAGCTTAAAACTGAACTAAAATCGCTGGTCTCACAATTGCATTCCATTCAAAAGTTGACTTAAGACAACGCTGCATATTAGTCATTTCAGCATCTGCAAACTATTGTAGCTTCACAAACCTGATTACGAAATATCCATTTGTCTTAAAGTTGGCTGCATCTTTTGAATAATAAAGCGGTTGTATAAATGTAGAGCTTGATAACAAGTTATTATAGAGAATATTCTACATTTGTATTTTCTTGTGGTAAAAGACCACTGCAGACCGCTGTCAATTTGATTATTTTTGTGGAAGAGACCTTTAGATAGCACTTCCAAGAGTATGAAGATTTCTTGTATTGACACCTATTTTAATATGAATTATGAAAACTTGTAAGCTTTCTGAAATCTAGTGACTTGAATAAAGCCGAGAATATTGAGTGGTTTTAATGTCCCAACAATATGTGACGCTGCTTCGACGATTGAAGCTGGGATGTCAACTTAGTTTAATGCTTCCTGACCTTATATTATTTACTGCTAATATAGTTTTAGTTCAATTGAAATTGTGTCCAACTCTGATTGATAAACAGACACAGAAATTTCTTTTTCATAATAATGCTGACTAAACAACCAGAACATCAGTACAACTTGAGTGTATGCAATATCATAATTAGGTAAAAAAAGATAGTCTGAAATAAGAATATCGTGATTAATTCATTCGTATTGTTAAGCAAAAATAGGGTCAGAGTGATTATGATACAATGTATAGAACAAAATGAGAAGTCCTGTCAACTGAAGCAATTACCATCAAAATCTAGTAGAAAAGTCATTCTAAAAAACTCACGGCAGATGGAGTAGATTTCACTTCATATAATTTTTCAAGATCTTTCTCAGTAAATCCGAGTGTAATTTTATTTTCATACCTCGTCATTTGTGATGCAATATAATAGGTCTGATTTGAATTACGCGCTGAACTTGAATAACTTTCACGTGGTAATACATTGTAGGAGAAACCATCATCATTTCGTGATAAGCCGAATTGTTCCTTCCATTTAAATTGAAAAAGTAATTTTGTCAGTTGATAACTTGTGCATACTATGATTGCAAGTTGAACTGCCAGTACAACTAAACGCCTAACACGCTTCATGAGGAAATGGAATTGACGAAATGCCTGATTCGATCTTCTGTAAGTAAGTTAGCAATTATGCGGAGGGTTATACTATAACGGACCAACTACTCAGAGCTTCTTAGATTTCAGTGTTTTGTCTAGCTAACAACAGCTAGTGAATGAAACTGTGGGAAATCAACCAATTTCGTGACTGAATAGCTTCATCTATGTTGCTGGTATAAAATAAGTTATGACAATTACTGTTCGTCATTTGCTCATTTCATTTTAACGCAAATTTTAAAAATGTTTAGATATTAGTCGGTTTTACATGTGAATACGTGTGTACAGAATGAGTATTTTGTCTGAACACTAATTTCAGTGGTCATTTAGTCACTTTAGTACTAACTTTTTTTATGTATTTGACAAAATTTAATGAATCAATTAGGAGAAACATCTGGCAATTATCTTCCTGTTTTCATCATAATACATCTAGTGTTAAATAACAATAACGTTTGCCAGTTTCTCAGTATTGGTAGGATGATAAGAATCACTCTTCGATATCCCCATTCCTATTACATTCACTGAAACTTAATGGTTATTGACGTTGATCAACCTTCCACTAACATAATTTCTAATATCCAAAACTAATGCTCACTATCTCAGTGATTAGTGAAGAGATACGAGCAGATAAACATGCTAATTCCGTTGCATATTGACATTAGTCAGAAACTCCATGTTAGAATAGTAACTGCCATAAGTATTTTATTACATGAGTATCGCTGAATCATCTTCACGTTAGGTATGATAATTAGTCAACGTGAATTTACCCGATATATTAGAATTTTACGTGAAGTGAATTTAGGGTCACAACAATGCTGTCTCGATTTGAATGTTCAAAATCAAATGATGCTTGTCTTTTTCATTCATATCCTCGAGGCTTTAAGATTAGATGTCATAATCTTCCAGAAATCATTATAGCTTCCAGATGGAGCTCGTATTCCGAAAGAAGAAATGAAACCAACAGAGATAGGGATGTTCTTACAAAGCTAGAAGTAATCTACGGAAAGCAATTTTATGTAGACGTTTCCATACAATTTAAAAATTTATGAAATTAGTCATAAATAAATTACAACGGACTTGTTGATGATTCATTTTTACTCAACTGTTTATTTGGATGTATGAAATATATTCAAACCACATTTCAATTCTCTTTGATAAAAATGAATACTGTTATCCAAATTGAAATATAATAGTTATGAAAAACAGACTAATTGGTAAATTAAACATACCTGTTATTTTGTAGTGAACCCATTGAACTATTGTATTATTTGTGCAGTACAATGTAATTTAAGCATCTATTCCAGTATATAAATTAATGTGTGAGTTTATTGAGCTCATGTCTGCACATCAATATTCATTTATTCTTTCATTGGTTGTAAACACAAACAATCAATAATTTATTTACAACCAATTAACACTCGTAAGTAAACATGGTTTTGAGTTTGCTTACATTGTTCCTATTCGTTTCTTTTCCACTCTTTTGTATATTGTTTTGTACTACTTATTTATATTCAATAAGCAGTTGTTACGCAAGTTGTAGTGCATTATTCTGAATTGTTCACATATATTTATGACGTTTATTGTACTTATCATTGTATTATTACTTTAAATTTAAATTCTTTCACTAGTTATTACATAATTTATAAACTCCGTAATTCCATGTTTCAATTGGTTTACTAACTAATAATTTTAGATACTATTATAGTCGCATTATCCACTATTATTATCATCAATATCATTGAGATTGTTTCGTAATCACTTCGTTAACCATTCTTTATTATTTTCCTCATCTGTTTAATTATTCCGTTTTTTCATTTTTTTCAGACTGTCTAAACGAAAATTTGTTTTATTACTTCCTATTTGTTCTATTTTAGTCAAATAAACATTATTTATATTAATTATGACTTGAGTAAAAAAGAATTTGGACGGACAATCAAACAAGTAATTCCTGGAATATATATATATATATATATATATATATATATAATATTGGCTATAAGGAATTTAATATATAAAGATGAATTCTAGGAATCAACCTAAACCTAGCCAAAAATGATCGAAAGATTATTTAACCGTCCTTTCTTATACTACATAAGCAAGTACCATAACATTACATAACAATAGTAAAGCTGACTGGGGATTATCTATTAATCAGATAACAGTTGACTTTTAAAATAAAGCACTTCAAATAAAATAACGATTTAATTTCTCTGTATGGAACTTTACACATAAATATAAAGACATGTATATAAAGCTGGATTATTATTATTATTATACTTGTTGTTAATTACATAAAATAATAAGATTACAATCAGCTTGGAAACTTTAAAGTTCTTATGATATTTTATTCAAAGTTTAATTTTATTTAAACGTAAAAGCAGCTTCGAGTTGTTGACTAAACTCAATCTCTTCCATCAACTTATCTTACTGCTTTTTCTAAATAACTATATGAAATTTGTCTAAAAACGATAATCACTAATGCATATGGGTAAAAACTAAAAATTTTTATTATGCATGGGTGAATGCCTACATCTATAAGCGGACTGACATGCTCATAAACACATGAAGAAAATATTCATTGAAGCATATTGTTTACAACGTACAGAAAAAATATTAAGAGCACAGTGATTTTCAACACTATCGGTAATACATGATTGGGGTAAATGCTTTAATGATTAGTTTGTATTTGCTCTTTAATATTATTTGAAATAATATTATTTAGAAATCTTCGAATAATGACATTGTATTCTTAAATTATACAGAAGGATGAATTATATTCTCACTATTTTATTCTAACTATCTGCTACGGAGTCCCACAATAGGACGAAACGACTGTCCAGTGCTTCTAGATTTTCCATGGTGGTTTAGCTTCAATTGACTCATAATCTCAAACGTTGTAATTACTGTAATATTCACAAAAATACCCTTCTGATATGAATCAACATATGCTCACTAGTGACTGGAGTTCTAGTGAGAAGTGGTGACCAATGGAGTTCAACCAGGTCTGCTGTGAGATAGTAACTCACTGAAGACAATGGTGGATGTGTCACACAATTTTTTGGATTGGTTGAAGTTAAATATTAACACATATTTGTATGACGGAAATACTTTAAGAACGTCCAATTTGGTATATAGTTAAAAATCTGTTAAGTTGATTAAAGACTTTTAATTATTATTTACAACTACTATTGAAACTTCTGTAATGAAGTTTTCTTACACACAGTTCTGGTATATAATGAGATAATAAATTAAAACACCAGTGAATGTGACCCAACAGGCATATTATCCGTGTAAAGACTAGTGTAATTGTCCTATTTCTTCTATTAAATAGTCGAAACTCAACTGATTTACTTCTACTCTTCCAGTCAACGAAGAAAATCTATTATAACTTGTGTTCATTTTCTTAAATTTAAATGAAGTGACATATTTGTCATAAAAAGTCATCATCAACATTTAAGAAACGTTTTACATTAGTCCATTTAAAAACAGAATCTTCAATAGATTAATCACCTTAATACTATAGTTACTACTGCTAAATGAATAATAGTAGCAGTTTGAAAATAGTTGTCATAATAAATAGATGAGAGTTTCAACAAACAGAATTCGAAATAATGTATATTATACAGTTATTTCACTCTTTATATTAGAACTGTTTAATAATGTATATTCCTGTAAATAGAATGTAATGTTGGAATTTCATGTAGTATGTTGAAATAGGAGATAATTCAATGTTTCAACAAGTTAAATACATTAAACTGACATCTTCGCGTTCTATTCTAATCTTTTTTTAATAAAACTCAAATCCTGATACCATCAGTTAGTAGTTAGATTCCTATCAAGTTAAATCCACTATCGATGCTTATTCGAAATAATTAGTTATCAAGAACGTTCGTTATATAGAAAGAAAAACAATTCAGGGAAGTTAATATTTTGCTCTTTTTGATAATATCACTTACTAGAGTTACATTGCATTATTTATAATTAAAACACACATACGCACATATTTCAGTATTAGGTCACTAACAAGTTATTTGGAAACGGGATAAACAACTAGTTCTAGAATCAAAGAGATGCAATAATTATAGAGTCGTAAAGAATCCAATGGAATTAAAATTTATTATAGATGAAACGCGAGATTTAACTTATCACCTAATAAGCGTAAATTAGACGAACGCAAGGCACAAAAGAACAACAATCATCCTTCAGGTAAGTAGATTAGACATAGGGTCCAGATAATAATATAGGAAAAAATTATTAATGGTTTTTTGAATCGATGCAACACAAAAATCACTCTGATGTGAAATACTCGAACACCATCTTCATTTAGATTACTATTTGACTATAAAGATAATTCTAGAATACTGATGAAGTTCAGTGAACAGAGTTGTAGCAAGGCACAAGAAACAAACTTATTGGCTAACATTATCCAGTTGACAGTTTAACAAAGTAATGCATGGAAAAGCATTTTATAAAACAGATGTATTAGATTTTATTTGCATTTTTAACAGAAACACAAACATCTGATATTCTGAGAAAACCATATTGTATTTTAAAGTTTAACAATAAATAAGCTTAACTACGTAACTATGCAGTTAATCTAACCAAACAGTATGAAAGAACTATTTTATACATATTTTCGGATGCCTTTTGAAACACATTGATTGTGATCCTCAAAATGACTATCACCAAAGTTGCAAGATGATTAAAATCTTTTTTGTCTGATGTGCAGGGAATCAAAAGCTTATGTAGTTAGAGATTCTGTCTCTAAAACCTACAAAGTATCAATAAAATCAAATATTTAATTATAACTTAATGCTTCTAACAAATTATAGCTTAAGAGTAGTAAGTCAAGATTTTTGTGTCAACCAATTAGATTATTAGACAAAAGTAAACCAATACTGGACAAAACAGTGTGTACAAATTACTGTATGCATATCTCGAAATACTTTATTTACATATAGAATACCACTTATGAGTGCTATTCATGAGTTTATTTTTGGACAGATTCCAAAACTGCTACGCTAATATTAATGTGAGAATTATTTCACGGTTACGTGGACAAGGTGATTAAATTCATAAGTCAATAATAATTGACGAAGTCACTCTAAACAAAGAAAAATTAAAAATGCTCTATTGTATTATTGTAGTTTGAGGGATAACAAACCTATAACTTCACTAGT